TAACAGTGCTGTCTAATGACTAAGCATCCACGATTGTTAGTACTGATGATGGTGGTGGAATGGGGTAGGGGTGGGGGCGTGACTGAATGAATGCATGTGTTGTCTGTGTACATGAATAGAAAGGCAGATACAAAGATAAATAAAATACAATCCTTGCATTCCAAGAGTTCTATTAAGTGGCAGAAACAAGAACATATCCATCATAACCCTCACAGGTAAAAGAGTTATTGCAATTTGTGCAATCTCTCCTCTGTGTATGTTCCATCCCAGGTTAGTCACTTACTGCACAGACTTCACTCTAGAGTCAAGTCTGTCTGTGGGCAGTTGAGGATCCTTGGTGTGGGAGAGACTAAGTAAATAATTATTTTTCCCCTTCGTCTATCTTCTTCCATAAAAGCAGTTTTACTAATACATCCCCAAAATCTAAAGCTTGTTTTATGAGTGAAAATATGGTTTAAAACTATTCTGAACTGTCTTTACAACTTTTATTTAAATTTAGAAACTCAACTAGGTTTTCTCTAGACTTTTCTAGTTTTCCTTAAACATGTCTGTGCATACACATGTTTTACATACCTGAGAATATGAAAATTAAATGTTTTTTCCCAATAATTAATTGCCTAATAATGAATTTCAAATATTAGGAGCTGAATGAAGTATGTTTCAGTAACCACAATCTATTTTGCTGTAACTCTGAAAAGTATTACCAAGACAGTAGAAATTTTTAAGAACACAAGGAGAGTAATGATGGTTAAACAAGTATCTCACCCAAAGCTAAGAAATACTCAACTAAAATCTGTGTAATTGACAGATTACTCAAATCATGTACACATGGAGAATACATTATTATTTAGAAAGTACTTTTTTCACATGGTACATACAACTTACAAGTTTGTGCAAACTACATATCAGACAGTGTGAATCAATTGCCCAAATTGAGAGAGCAGGGAGTGTGTGTGTACATGCATGTGTGTATGCATGCAGATGCAATCCTTGAACTCTGAACTTATCACTTCTGTGCTCTTGATCTTTTCCACTAATTTCACCACAAAACTTTCCTGAAGCCAAGATCCATGACATACAAAGCTGATTTTAACCTTAGGAAAAGAAGCAAAGAGAAATTTGCACAGAATTCATAGTCAATTGTTCAATAGGCTTTGATTATTCATTTAAGAGTTTGCTCAATTCATAAAAGTAACAATATTACAAAGCGGCTTTTCTCTTAGCAGTAAAAGTAAATACACGGTTATGAAAGCCATCAAAATTACTATTTAAGAACTATGTATGTAAGACTAATGAACAGAAATAAAGGAAAACTAATGCAAAAAGGACAAGGAGGCCACATCTTCTGACCTCCTCTAACTGCACAAGAGGAAGACAGAAGCACTATCAGTAGCCCGAGGTCCATTACTGTGAGGCCAGACATGCTGCCTCCCTCTAGCCCTTCACCAACCGTTCCTCCCGCAGCACCCAAAGCCTATCTGCCAGGTTCGATAATTCGCTGCAGTGGCCACACAGAACTCACAGATTATGGGGTTTATTAGGGAAGCACCAGGGTACAATTCAAGCTCAGGAACGATGTTCAGCCTCTCTCCCAGCCCAATGTCTCTCACCCAACAGTCTCTCAGTATCTTTCCCAGCAATGTGTGTCTCTCGGTGTCTCTTTCTCAGCAGTGCATCTCTCTCGGTGTCTCTTTCTCAGCAACACATCTTCCTCACTCAGAGGTCAGAGAGACTTCTTTCTGCCTCTAGGAGGCCTCCTTTTGAGCCCGGCAGAGTGGACAAACCAACCAATCATAACATCAGAATTCTAAGCACCTGAGAGAGAGCGAGAACCTCCCAGCACATTGTTTGTGTCACTCCCAACAGAAATCCCCCAGGTGGATGATTTTAACAATCAGAAGCTACTTCAGTTTCTCATAGCAAACTCCACCATGGAGTTTACAAAGACGTATGGCTAGAAAAGCCATATCAGGTAATTTACTATAACGCAACTAAAAACATAAATTAGTTGGCAAGTCTCAGAAAAAGAATGGTATTTTTAAAGTTCATCCTTTATTACAAAGATTTAAGTATGTATAGTTTAAGATAAAACTCCTAAATTTGTACACTTTCATGTTTATAGGTATGTATTTTTACCATAGACTCTATGGTGATGCAGTGGTTAAAGTGCTCAGCTGCTTAAAAAAGGTCACTGGTTCAAACCCACCAGCCACTCCATGGGAGAATGATGATGTAGTCTGTTTCCATAAAGATTTACAGCCTAGAAAACCCTATGGGGCAGTTCTGCTGTGTCCTATTGGGTCACTATGAGCCAGAATCAACTCTATAGCAATGGGTTTGGCTTTTTGGTATATTTACAAATATATACATTATGAATTTGTGTGCTTATATATTTGTGACTATATAGAAACAAAATGAAAATTTACCTATCAATAAGAAGATTGAGTTTATTGAATTGGTCATGCAAAAGAAATAGACTTTTCAATGATAACAAACTGAGGACAAGAGGTTGCAAGTTACATTTTCATCTTTTTACTGCAGCTGTGAATAGGTAATTTCTTAAACTCTCAGTTCCTTAAAACCAAGCCTGAAACCAGTTACTAGTAAAAAAGTATACAGCGCACTAGCAATATTTTTTCTAGTCTTTCTCTAAATTATGGCAACATCCTTTTAATTTTAAATGTCACAGCCTTAATACTTTAAGGAAATCCAAACAAGTCTAACAGCACATCAAATGAATGATATTACTGCATACACACAAAGGAATTGGTATAGGCGCAAAGTGCTCCACTAGTATCCATAAGGTTGGCGGTTTGAACCTACCCAGAGGCCCCTCAGAAGACCTTCACTAAGATATTGTCAATCATATTTGTCCATTTTAAAGGTGTCTTTACCTTTGTAATCAATCATACGTGGAGTGATGATTTGAGACCATGTGCACATCCTGCTCTCGCACAAATGCTTATCTAATGGTTTTAGCATTCTGGGATGATTCCTTCTGGATCAAGCTTTGCATTGGTAATTACAAGGTGGTAATTTCTTTTACCAAGAAACCAAAACCATTGCCTGGCAATCTGCTTCCTAAAGGTCACAGCTTTGAAAATCCTATGGAGTAGCTGAGCTACAATCAACTCAAAGGCAACCAATAACAACTTTTGAACAAGTCTTCTAATGGACACCCTTAGTCAGTCATGTACTAAGGACAGAAAGTACTACAAAGAGATCCTGAATTTTACTAAGTAGTTTTGTTGTTGGTAGTAGTCCTGGTATGTTAATTCTGTGATTATGATGTATGTACTATAGGACAGAGCTGAGTAAATGTGTTCATGTTACTGAGAGACAAAAAAAAAAAAAGAAAAAAATCAAACCCTTTGCGACTGAGTTAATTCCAACTTGTAAGGAGCCTGTAAGGCAGAACAGAACACCCCCTTTCAGTTTTCAAGGCTGTAATCTTTTTTTCTTAATTATTAATTTTATTTTAAGAGCTTGTTTTACATTCAACATCACACGTACGTTTAGTTTCATTCCCCATTCGCCATGTCCAACCCTAACCCAGTCTCCTCCCATCCCTACCCTGCAACCCTCCCCCTATGCCCCTCATAATTATGCACTCCTGTTTGTCCTGCATTTCCTCAGTTTGAATGTTGGTCCTCTGGTGTCCCATGGTCTATTGCTCTAAGGGATGTATTACCATTGACTGTGTAGGTGCAGCATCCTGGGTTGAGTGGTCTGCGTGTACATCTTGTTAACTATTGGGCTAAGAGTCCACCCCTGGCGGTGAGTTTTATTCTAGATGCTGAATGTATTTCAGGGCCATAGTATTGGGAGTCTCACTAGATTTCATCTGACCAGTAATTCTGGTCATTATTGAGTTTTTAGATTTTGTTCCGCGTTTTCCCTCCCACTCTATCCAGGATCTCCAGATTTGATTCTTTCCTGAGCGGTTGGCATTGGTAGCCAGGCACCATCCAGTTCTGGTCTCAAGGGCCATCGTGTCCTAGGGCTGTTTACTTCTAAATGCCCTTGTGTTGCTTTTTCATTCATCTTCACTTCTGATGCCAGGAGACCATTAGCTGCATCCTAGATGGCTGTTTGAAAGCTTTTAAGACCACAGTTGCTGTAGGATATGGAGCAACATTTTTATGTATTTCATTGTGCCAATTGAGTCTGGTGTCCCCCAGTACTATGGTCCTGAGGTAGTAGATCTATTGGATCTCTCTCCCATAGTGTCAGGATGTCTGTGAGGAATTACTCTGTGTCTATCTTCTACTGTTTCTGGAAGGACTGCAGACCCAACTCATAGCAACCCCTCCTTGGGTTTCCAAGGCAGTATCACTACAGAAGTAGAACTCTATGTTAGATAATATTAACTTTATTGGATGTGATAATGGTATTGTGGTTGTTTGAAGATTATCTTGTTCATGCTGAACTTCATGCTGAAGTTTTTAAGAGGAAATATCATGTCTGCAACTTACCTTTATATAGTTTAAGGAAAAAAGACTGAGTGAAATAAAGAAAATGTGCCAAAATGTTAATAGTTGGTGGATCTAGGTAAAGGTTATACAGAGATTCAGGATACTACTTTACAACTTCTCTGTAGGTTTGAAATTTTTGAAAACTAAAGTTGGGAAACAGAAAACCAAACAAAATTATTATTTAAATTCTTTATTTCATATACTTATTTCATCAATATAGAAACGTATGTTGACTACAGGGGTCCTCTAGTAGCATAGTGCCTAAGGCATCTGACTGCTTTAGTATACATGTAATCACTCTCTTTTTAATTAAACATATGAAATGTTGAATGAAAGTTACAAATTATACTGTAATCAAAATGTATAACAAAGTGCTTTTAAAATAAGGCAAAAGATTTAAGAATCATTATCTTAAATTTGTAGTTGGCTTTTGCCCAATTCTTAAATCCTGCCCTCTCCTAAAACCTAAGAATGTAGTCATTATAAATTGGAAATACAGAATTCTTTAAAAATCCAGTGGATGTTGAGTTGTCTGATTCTCCTTACAGGTACAATCTAGTTTTCAGCAAGTGATAAGCCATTGAAAATGTAACTCCATATCCAACAAAAAAAGCCAAAGCTCTGTTTGGCTGGGGAAGGGGTGTCAAATATGCAATTGTGTGGTAGATCCGTGCTCCAACGAAGAGTCTGAAGTGCAGCAGGGCTGTAGAGAGATCTGGATCACTCAAGGAATACAGAAGGCCAATGCCAAGAAATGGCACAATATTTTCAAGGTCATTCAGGTGTGCTCTGTAGGAAAAGATGACTAACTTGAAAAATCGGTGGGAATATACTAATTTCCTTCTACAAAACTAAATATAAGTGTTACTGGATATTTAACTTTCAGAGATTCCTTTTATTATTCTCAAATTGCCTTATCCATGTGGCTATTATTTAAAATATCTCATTACTTTTTTTTAGTGTATCTCAGCATGTAACAGTTTGCAGTTTCTAGAGTATCAAGACTGCATCTATATATTAAACTCCATTCATTTTTGTAAAGATAAAATACTATTTTTTTTTCTTGGGGTTCATAAAATAGCAATTCAAGATTCTTCTTTTAAAAACTCTTCTTCCCAAAAGAAGAAAATCCTTTTGGTCATGATCTTTCCTAAGACTCCTCCCTCACATCTGCTGGTCTATGAAATAATCACTGGGAGAATCCTTGCCCATTTACCCAAACCATTAGGTTGCCAAGAATTGATTTATCAATTTCCTATCAAGAATATCATGGTCCCAACATCTAAACAACAGACAATAACTACAGAACCTGTCCTTGAATCCCAAAAGATATTAGATAATAGTGTTGAAACAAAAGTCAAAAGTATGCACAAAAGTAAAAATTCATTAAAGAGAGAGAGAAAAAAATGCTTCCTAAATTATATACAACAGCTAAGACAAAAGCATGGTTTGGGCACAAGTTTTCCTCCAATTCATGGCATCTTGGGTTTTGCTAGCTAGGATTCTGAATACAAGATACATCTACGAATGACTTCAAGTTTATAAAAGTACTTCATTTTAAAATGTGATGTCTTCTTTAGTGTACAGAATATAAAAATGCTTAATCTAGACTAGAAATGGACATTGTGATAGAGTTTATCAGCTATTGATATTTCAAAATGAAAAATTTTTGTTATTTTTCATTAAGCAAAAAATATTGTCTACTCAATGATCACTATTGTCTTTCCCTCTTTCCTATTTTCCTTAGATTATCCCTCCAGTTGCCTAGAAATGCAAAATAGGTGGCAGTAACCAAGATGAAAGGAGCCCTGGTAGTACAGTGGTTAAAGCACTCAGCTAAGTGAAAGGTTGGCCATTTGAATCCACCAGGTACTTCACTTCACTCCTTCTGTAAAGACTTACAGGCTTGGACCCTATGGGGAAGTTCTACCCTAACCTACAGGGTTGTTTTGAGTCAGAATCAACTTGATGGCAGTGGATTGTTGCTGGTAACTTAGATGAATGTGGTGGTTAAGTTTGTGTGTCAACCTGGCTGGGCCTGGTTGAGTGGTTGGGCAGCTAGTGGTAGTTATTCCCCATGATGAGATTGGCAATCAGCTCCATGGTGGGACTGACAACAAGCAGCTGAGTAGCTGCTTTAGGGATGTGGTCTGCATCCCATATGTAAGAAATAGCTTTGGGAATGGTCTCTAGCATATGGCACGCTTGAACTGCATGTAGCCATGTCGTTGTTCAGCAGCCTGCCATGCTCTGCCCAATGTTGGGACTTTTAATGGACTTGAATTAATGGCCTGCTGTGTGGTTTGGTAACATCGGGACTGTACCTTTTTATTTGTCGACCTTGGGCTTGTCAGCCTCAGCAGCCAATAGCTGCCTGAGTGAAGAGATGTCTCTAGCTTCAGTGGGCTGGGAGCAATAGGCAGAGCTGAAGCCCAAGGTTGGGGGCTTTCACACAGCCCCTAGAGCCTAGCACTTTGAACTCGGACTTCTAGCCTCCCAAACTGTAAGAGAATAAAGTCCTGTTTGTTCAAGCCATCCCATTTGTGGTATATTCCTGTCAGAGCTGTATCAGGTAACCAGAACAATGAGTAAGTGTATAAAGGATTTAAATAAAGAACTACTAAATGAAAGCAAAGATAGTGTGTGATTGTTCCTGTGCTTTCTCTTTAATGGAACAACCCAAGGGCTACTGAGAGGAAAGTGGGCAGGAAAGAATAGGAATGCCATTTTCTACTAAAGAAACACTTTGTAAATTGCACCAAATGTATTTGTTTTGGTCCTCTGAATTCTCCTGCTGGACAGACCACAGAGAATATCTCCACCTCCAACCTTGGGCATGTTAGTGTTCTTCTTCAAACATTGTGAAGGGCACAGAAAATTACAAAGTTGGGGAAGGAACTATCAAAAGAAAACTCGGAGGGAAGCAATGTCCATGCATAAGAATATGTAAAACAATTACGAAATAGAATACAATTAAAGTCAAGAAAAAAATCAAGGACAAAAAGGGTGAAAAGATATTACAGGTCAAGTGGTGGTAGAGGGAAGATCTGGGCCAGAACTTCTTTTGACCTTACTTACCCCCTTTTTTTTTTCTGACCTCTCTCTCTTATTTATCCTTTTAAATGCTCTTTCCTTTTCCTCAGCCCTTAGAAGATGCTCATAGATAACAGTCTTCATTGTCCCAGTAAGGTGTGTTTTCAACAGCTCCTCATTCTCCATGCTAACTTATGCCTTTTTATATGCTACTTGCTTTAGATCCTGCCCCAGACATATACTTACCAAGCTATTCCCAGTGAGCACCTGTGTTGTTCGGTATCACACTACCACTGGGACCTTTTCCTCTGCTCAAAGGACAGAGCCCATCCTAGAGTGGCAGCTTCCTTCACATTAGTGCCATTTCTAGAGTTTCCAAAATCTTTTTCTAGGTAGATATCAGTCTTCATGTATGACCATGCTATACTTGGTTCTATATCCCCTTCTGCACCATAATTCCCTGTTCCTATTCTTCCTCCTCCTTTGGACAGAAGGCCCCTTGTGCAAACTTTCTGAGTCCTGCTCTGTGCTCATGGTTACAGTCATACCTCACTGCCTCAGACCAGAATCCTAGAATCTCAGAATCTACATGACTAGGACTAGAGTTCTACATGCCTTTGAGAACCGCCAGGGAGTGGCCAACTACAAAGGGAGCTTCACAACAAATTTTCCTGACTTCCTAACCTCAGTCTCACATTCCCCCAGATTCACAGCACACAGCGTTATATCCAAACTCCTAACCCCCAAACAGGTTTATGTCCTCTCCTCTCACCTTCCTCATTCCAAATCCTAACATCCTTCAAGTGCTTTCTCCATGAAATATACTTATACCCAAGGACACTTAGACCCTGTGCCCTACAACTAAACACCTAGTGGGATACTGGTTATATCCCTCTATAATGAGAATGATCTTGGTTTTATTTTCAGAAAAAAAGACAAACCTCTCAGAGGTAGAAACCCAATCTTAAACTGTTTTATTGCCTCCCAGTAGAACAGCTGACAGTGATCTACACATAATAATCTTGCAATAAACTCTCATTATGTATTTGGGCCAGAAGGGAAGTTATCTCTTTGAACCCCTAGCCCATGCTCCAGTCCCTTTACAGAATCCCCAGTCATCTAGATTTCACTGAGCACCTCAGTGAAGGTGTACTTCCTACCTTTGAAGGCAGTTTATTCTAAATGTCTCCTGGCTCTATACACCAAACTCATGCCTTCCTTTCCTTTGTGTTTCTTTCTCCAGCTGCCCTGATTGTTTTACTCTTTTCTTTTTTACTCTGTTGTGTTGAACATATGTGGTTCTGATTCTCTTTAGAATAAAGTAAGACTGGGTTAAGTAAATATATATGCAGAGTGCTTTCCAATCATGACTGGTTTCTGCCTGTCCAGACTAAAATAACTTAGTCACTTATCTTGACATCTCACACATAATATTTTATGGTTTTAATTAGTTGTTCCACATGTACTTATTAATTTACTCAATGCATACCTGAAAGCATACCTTTCCCTTCATTTACAGTCTCTTCAGTCCCTACCATTGGAATATACTAATAACATCTTTGGGAGCTCTGGTAGCATAGTGCCTAAGGCACTTGACTACTAACCAGGAGGCTGGCTGTTCAAACCCATCAGCCACTCCTTGGAAGGAAGATGGGGCAATCGACTTCTGTAGCGATACTGCCTCAGAAACCCAAGGAGGGGTCGCTATGAGTAGGGCTCGACCCGACGGCACATAACAACAACAACAACAATAACATCTCTGTAACTACATATTGAAATAAAGAGAGGAAAAAAGTCCAGGTTAAAAATGGGAAGATTCTGGAAACTCTTTCTCTGAAAAACATCTCCAAAAGTAGGATTTTATTAGAAGCTTTTGAATTGGGTCAATAAGGTCTCAAGAAATAGGTGGGGCTGATAAAGTCTCAAAAATACAACTGGAAAGAAAACACTGGGGTCTTTTTCTTCAGGACTCCTTTCTTGCCTCACTGAAAAACGAGTGTCTGTTCACCAGGGGGAGCTTTACTCACAGTAGCTGTATCTTCTCAAGGACACCAACCCTTCCCAGAAGTAGGGGTCAATTGTTCTTTCCAAAATGTATTTGTTGCTCATCAGACTAAAGGATGATCTTAGATAATCGTCTTCTCTTCTAGAAGTACGATGCCATGGATGTAGGGAGAGGGAGTGCAAGGGATGGGGAGCAGAATCCGAACTCCAAATAATAAATATCTTTTATAAAGCTTTCACACAAGACAACTTGGATCATCCTTCCAGTCTTACTAATGCTACTGAGTGTGTAATTGCTATCAATTTCAAATCCCAGGCAATTTTATGAATTCATATTAGCATGATGCATGTGGTTGTCTGCTCTAGAAGGGAAGGGCAGCAACAAAAAGACAAAGTTTTAAACTGCTTAACATCTCTTTAGTGGTTTTGGTAACTTCACAAAGCTTCTCTCACCTTTTTTAATTTATATCCTTTCTCATTAACTTTTGTCATTTTTCCTCTGATACTTTTTAAAAGTTTCACATTTATTCTTTGTCCTGAAACTATTTCAGCTTGGCACAACCCATTATCAAGACTGGCTGATTTACTCAGTTGTTATTGGCTAACATTGAGTCAGCCTTAATTCACGGTGACACCATGCATAACCGGATCAGACCATTGTGATCCATGGGGTTTTTATCAGCTGATTTTTTGGAAGTACTCCTGGTGGTTACTTTCTTCCTTAGCCCTCTTAACCTGTAAACACCACTAAAACCTGATTTATTCAGTGCAAAAAATAAACAAACACTGCCATCGAGTAGGACTCGACTCATAGCGACCCCTCCTTGATTTTCCAAGGTGCTATCACTACGGAAGTAGATTGCCCAACCTTCCTTCCATGGAGTGGCTGGTGGGTTTGAACCGCTGGCCTCCTGGTCAGCAGTCAAATGCCTTAGGCGCTACGTCACCAGAGGTCCCGAATTACTCAGCAGGACTACTCAATTAGCAAGTATACAACCTAAGTGGAACAGAAGTCAAAATTGTTTTCTAAATATCAAGCACAGACTTCTTTTTACAAGCAAATTATCTTTACTTGTTTAATAAACTTGAGATAAAAGTATTTTGGACGAGCAAGAAGGTAGATTTAATTTTAGTCCTGAAAGGGCAGAAAAGTGCTATAGGGCCAAAGAACTCACTGCCATAGAGTTGGATCCAACTCACAGCAACCCCTCCTTGGGTTTCTGAGGCAGTATTACTATGGAAGTAGATTGTCCAATCTTCCGTCCAAGGAGTTGCTGGTGGGTTTGAACTGGCAGCCTTCTGGTTAGTAGTCAAATGTCTTAGGCACTATGCCTCCAGAGCTCCCAGGGCTAAAGGGGAGCCAGAAAAAATAATGTAATAATTGGCCCTCTTTGAAGTGAAGAAGGTACAGTGTAATTTCCGGAGTGAGGATGAGAAATGGCAGGAAGAGCAGAGTGGTCTAATGTACAACTTGAAATATTTATGTTGCCATCTTATAAGTTCTTCTGCATCCATTTCTACCTCAACTCAATCAAGTTTATTTTACCCACTTTCTTTTTTTTCAGTTGATTTGTGGTGGAAATTGAGGAATGGTTGAGTTTGCATCCAGATTCACAAAATACAGAATATGAAAAACATAAACCAATTCAGAAATCCAGATCCAGAGGTAGTCCTAAGATTATAAGTCATGAGTAAATCAGTAGAAGTCTCAGGAGGGGCTTTAGACTTTCACAGGTAATCAAAAAAGGGATAACAAAATTATATATTAAAAAAAAAAAAAAACCTACCAAAAATTCCACTTCTAAAAATATACCCAAAAGACTTGAAAACAGTGACTCAAACAGACTTTGTATACCAATGTTCACTGCAGCATTATTCAGATAGCCAAAAGGCAGGAACAACTTCAGTGCCATCAATGGATGAATGGATAAACAAAATGTGGTATACACATACAACAGAATACTACCCAATCAGTAAGAAAAATTAATTCTTGATATAGCTATCACATGGATGGAGTGTGAAAGTATTATGCTAAGTCAAACAAATCAATCACAAAAGGACAAATACTGTATAATCTCACTTATATAAAAAGAACAGAATAAGCAAAAGTAGAGAGACCAAAGTTTATTACTGGCTATCAGGGGCAGAAAAGTAGGGGGATGAGGAGTTATTGCTCATGGAGCACTGATTTCAGTTTACGGTGATGCTAAATTTATATTGATTAAGAGTAACAGTTGTACAGCTGATTAATATAATTGCTGTCAATAAGTTGTACCCTAATAAAAACTGTACCTGTCATTGAGCAATATTTATAAAAAGTTGAATTGGCAAAAATTGTGTGATACATAATAGATATATTTACAACAATAACAAAAAAAGAGCAGTTGCTGAGTCTACTTATGTACAGATAAACACTTCATGGGATTTGGTCTCTTAGTTTGGAGGTTTTGGGTCATGGTTTCGTGATATGCAGTTAACTGGCCTAATACTATGTTTAGTGCTTCTGTTCTATCTTCTAGTTGCTTGTGTAGTGCTTACAATCTTAAAAGCTTGTAAGCGATTATCCAACACATAATAATTGGTCTATATTTGTCTGGAACAACAGAGGAAGAAGAGGAGTCAGGAACAGGAGGAAGCTATGAATGTGTGGCTAATGGCCTTCAAGGACAAATGCCTCCTTTGCCATGAGACCAGAAGAAATGGATGGTGCCCTGCTACCATTACTGAAATTTTGGTCAAAGATTCCATAGAAGAATCCTCATCAAAAGGGTAAAATGCAGAATAGAATTTCAAATTCTCATGGAATCCAAATTTTCTAGAGACATGGAGCCTTGATGAATACTCAAAACTACTGCCCTAATAATCTTTAAACCTTAAAGCAAAAATATCCCTTGAAGTCTTAAACCTATACAACAGTTTAGCTTAATTAGTAAAGAAGGTCTGCCTTGAGCACTGTGATCCTTTAAGAACTATCTATATGGGATCAAATTGACAACAGCAACTTGAAAAATCAGACAGGAAACTTAGAAGGCAGTGAGTTTATGTCAATGAGGGAAGAAGAATTAAGAAAAGGAGGGCAAAGATGGTTTCTCAACTTGAAGAATGTGATCAATATCACTGAACTGCACATGTAGAAACAGTTGAACTGGTACATATTCTGCTGTGTAATTCTCAACAACAAAGAAATAAACCATTAAAAAAAAGGGGGGGTAACAGAAATCTGATAGTTGAATTATAAAAGTAAAGTTTTCTGCTACTATTTCATCATTTACTCATACTCACTAAATTGAAGACTTATTTCCAAATACAGTCTTTGTATTTCCTATCTTAGCAATTCATCACAAAACTACCTCCCTCTACATTTAGGTATGGCTATAAAAATTCTTCACTGATCCTTTACTTTTATTTAACTTTACTTATACTTAAAATGTATCTAAACTGTACCACAGTTTAGATGAGCATTAGAAAATGTTAACTGAGAAAATGGTATAAAACTTTGACTAATGCATTGGTAAATGGAATCTCAATATAATAACTTTGCAATTTACATGTCTTTCTATGACAATGATTAAGAAATACACTCAAGAACTGGAATCCAATATACATACAAAATAAGCATATTAATTATATTGTTTGCAGACTGTGAAGATGGTATCCTTGCTTATTGCTTTTCATTGTTCACTGAATTCCCAAAATATTAACCATAATATCTTCAAAGGAGAGGAAGATAAATTGATTTCCTTATTTCTCCAAAGAGTGTCAACTTTCATATTTTGAATTCTATGCAAACCCATGCAGTTCTCCAACCCTTTATAAGAGTTAATAGTCTCACTTCTAATAAACATGATGAAACTGCAAGAAGCTACCGTCCCTATTTTTGATGTATCCCGATATAAACTCATTAACCCCGATAATGAGAATATAGTACAGCAAAATTTGTGATATATGCATTTGCAGTGAAATTTAAAACTTCCAGATCCCTGATTTATCTGTAATTCTTCTATAGAATAGGTGAGATGACTACTTTCTACATCTTCAAAACCCTGACATCCTTACTGAATTTCTTGACTAAAATTCCTGCAAAAGTAAATGATTTCAGGAGACAGCGGTTTACCTTCGCACACGTTCCACTCTATCATCTGTCCGGAGATACTTCTTGGCATTTTCTCCTTTGCCAAACTGTGCACAGTCTTCTGGGTTGGCAAAAACCTATTCCAAATATCAAGAAAAAGTTACTCACATGGAGTATTCCACCCATTTTAATGCGGAAATACAGACATTCAGGTTAGCCTTTATGGAAAGAAAAGATGGAGAAATAAACCACACTCAGGGGTAGTGGAAGTCAGCTATAGTTTTTACATGGATGTTTATTAACAATGCAAAATAAAAGAATCAAAGACAAGCATAAAGAAAAAAATAAAAACCAAAGTATAAAAATTACGTAAAGGAAGCAAAAATGGGAAGAAGGGTTTAACTCTAAAGTGTTACTGATTATCAAAATGGTGAACTGGCAACTTTTCCATGGTGATATTGATATACCTTCCCCTAAGTATACTGCCTGAATGACTGATCTGAAAGTAATAAGCTCATTTGCCAAGTACTGAACAGGTGAGAAGCATGAAAGGGAGAGGTGGGAAAGGTATTTTGTACTTTGTAGGATGTGAACCTCTGGCTCCACAACTTGAGCTGAATAATATAGTGAAATTTAAGAAGCTGAGTTGTATTCCTGTACACATTCTAGGGCATATGCTTATGAATTTCTTCTTGCAATTTTAACTTTTTACAGTGATTTGGGTGAAACTGTATAGAGTATACAGAGCAAAATCATTTTCCATTCAACAGTTCACACGTTTTTTCATGACAATGACTGCATTCCCCACAATGTAACTGCTCTCTTCCCACTTCCTCCCTGTGGTTACCTTCTCCCTGTGTCCTTCTTTCCTATGCTTTCCTGCCCTGAGCTTGCACCCTATACAAATGTTGCCCTTATGATCTCCCGTGGTTGACTGTTCTAAGGAGTGTATCTACCTGATGTAATGTCCATCTCATAGACCTGTCTATCGTCTGAAAGTTATGCCCCAGGAGTGAGTTCAAGTCCAAGTCTGAAGGGTGATGAGGGGCCACAGTCTCGGGGTTTCACCAGTCTCTGTCAGACCAGTAAGTCTGTTCTTTTTTTATGACTGAGTTTGTTCCACATTTTTTCTCTCATTCTATCCACAATCTCTAATTTTGATCCCTTTCAGAGTGGTTGGCAGTGGTAGTCAGGCACCATCTAGTTCTGGTCTCAGAGTCATGTAGGCTGAGGTTCCCATGGTCCATTAGTCCCTTGGACTAATTGTTTCTATGTGTCTTTGATTCTCTTCACTCTTCTTTGCTCAGGAGAGATCAATTGTTACATCTTAGATGGCCACTCACAAGCTTTTAAGACCCCAGTCACTACTCACAAAGTACCGCCTACAATTATTATGATGTTTGAAATTCTCTCTCCATCCTTTGAAATTTGAAATATGCAATTTAAAAAGTATTTAAGTACATTCCACTGTTTAATAATTCATTATGTAAAAAAATACAAACTATAAAATTTAAGCCTCAACCTAAAGCTTAAAAATCTTACAAACATTATAACATTTTCCTCATACAAACATTTAACCCCGATAAAGATGTTGAGAACTGATGGGCAGGGATGTGATCCAGTATCAGGTCAGGTCCATCTTGTCCAATGCTGTATCCCAAGTACCTAAATAAATGTCTGGCACACACTAGAAGTTCAATTAACATATTTTGAATAAATAATGAATTGCAATGGAAAGTGCATGAGCTTTGGGTTCAAACCAATCTGGATGAATTTCAGCCTTACCCTTTGCTGGTGTAAACTTGGAAAAGCTACTTAACCTGAGTTTCACCTTTCCCATCTACAAAATAAGGCAGAATAACCTTTATTTCACATTATGTTGGTTAAGATAATATAATGATTCAGTTATCTACCACATATAAAGAGTACTATGGCTACTGGCACATACCACTGGTACTCCACAAATTTGAATTCCTTTCTATTTTCTTTATAAGATAGGGTGTATTTCTGCTCTCCTTGGCACTATTGTTTCTAGAGAACAATGTGGATCTGATAACAGGCAGCCACTCTACAGCTGGTTGTTCCAGTATATTGTCCCACTAGGATCTGATTCCATTAGAGTTTTATACAAGTGGTTATGTGTCCCATCAGAATGTAAATGTCCTTGGAAAGGTATTACAGGTATGTATCCTTTAATATCTATGATATGTTCTGTTAAATTGGATGTTGTACGAACACCATATTAAATCCTTATACCAGCCAGCTTCCAGTCATCCTCATTACTGCTGCTGCCACTACTGCTAAAACCACTGGCTGTGGCCAGAGGACTGGGAGATGGCAGCAATGGTGATTGAGAGGGCGATGGCAAAGCAGGAGGAATTGAGCAGAGAGGAAGCAGAGCACACCTAGCTCTACCCACTCTTAGACCTGCATGAGCAGCCCAAACCCCACAGCCCCTGCTGCTGCTGCTGCTGCTGCTGCCTGCTTGCCCTTCAGGCAAAAGCCCAAGATCCTGAATCCAAAGGCATGTTCTCTTCCACACCTGCCTGTATCCCACCAGGGGTCCAGTGCTGTAACAGTCTGGGTTTGGGGTCTTTAAAACTATTGTTGTTGTTGTTGTTATATGCCGTTGAGTCGGCCCCGACTCATAGCGACCCCTCCTTGGGTTTCTGAGGCTGTATCACTATGGAAGTAGGATTGCCCAACCTTCCTTCCAAGGAGTGGCTGGTAAGTTTGAAATGCCAGCCGTCTGGTTAGCAGTCAAGTGCCTTAGGCACTATGCTACCAGAGCTCCTATTAGGGGAAAATAATGAATAAAAGGACTTTCCCTTTAAAAAAAACACCTTATGGAACCATAGACTTATATGTGGTTAGATATTGCCCAAACAGATATTAAGTGATACAAACCTGTACTTCCAAGGAAGTAAGGGAACTTCGCTAAAGTATTTCCTAATTATTGTCTACGTAATGAGATGTAACAAAAGCAACGCTTTGGAGAAACAAAAACTCAGGGCAGGTGATTTCCAAGAAAAAGAAGTTGTTGAATCGGGTTAGGACTGCACTAATATAAAAATCTTTTAACTTTGCTCTCCTCCTCACTATGCCATAAACCCTGCTTGAATACACAATCTGTGCTTCAAAGTTTTTCTAGCACTTTTCTCATTTCTCCAGTTTTTACAATAATCAGTCTTACAATGCTAGTTAGAAATATTATCTACTTCCTCCTCCCCTATCAGCTACCATCACTGAATATTTTAATTGAGGATTCCACAGAAGAATCATGATCAAAAGAGAGAAAAATGTGGAACAGTATTTCAAGTTTTCACAGAATCCAGATTTTCTGGATCCACTGAGGCTAGTTGAACCCTTGAAACTGTTGCCGTGGGGTAATCTTTAACCTCTGAAACAACAATACCCCTTGAGTTCACCTTTAAACCAAACAAGAGTTGATCTTAATTAATAAAGAATACCTGCCTTAAAGATTGTGCCCTTTTATATGGAATCAGATTAACAACAGCAATTCAAAGGGTAATATGGGAAGGTTAAGAGGCAGTGACTTTATATTAATGGAGGAGGAATAATTCAGAAAAGGAGGGTGAGAATTGCTGCACAACCCAAAGTACGTAATCAACGTCACTGAATTATACATGCAGAAAATGTTGTATTGGTATGTTATGCTGTGCATTATTTTCAACAACAAAAATAATGTTTTTAAAAATAAAAGTATTATGCCCTTAGGAAACAGAAAGTGTACAAAATCAAATGGTTTGTCCCAATCATAAGAACCTCTGCTGTGGGGATAAGAACTTTAATTCTCAGTCTTTTTATTTATTTGTTTTGTCCTCAAAGTCACACCCTTGACCTGTAAGAAAACTGAAAACATTAGTTAACTGTCTTGAAAATAAGTATTTTCTAACTCTAATGGACAAAATTGACTCCATAATCACAGAACATTTCCTTAAAACTGTGATACCCTGAAGATCTTCCTAACTAAGCAATATGACAAAAGGTAAAAGTCACAACGAAAAAACCATTTACTAGCAACAGTTCCATAAATGTATCAGGTCTATCTGTACCAAATGATAGCACATTTCACTGCAGCATTAAACCATGTTCTACTACAGGGCTTTACCAAAAACAAAAAAAAAGGAAGGGTAAAATTAAGCAAACTGCTTTCTAGAATTTCAACTTTTGAAAAGAAAATACTACCTCGAAATTTCTTACCTTTCTTGTCAGTCTATAGAATGCAGTTGCAGTACTCATAAGCATCATTTTTGAAAGAATGATTGTTGTATAGGAGGCAAAGGCCATGAAGACTTCATTCTCGGTTAGTTGGGGGAGGTCCATTTTTTCACCTTTAGTGTGGAATCTTAAAAAAAAAAGATTTTAGACAAAATGGGGAAGTATGAAAAAGCAGACTGGATACTCATAATAACTCAATGTTCACTTTGTGTGCTTATATTGCAGTATTAACCATATGTGGTAGTTAAGGTTATGTGTCAACTTTTTTTTTTTTGAGTGGATGTGCAGGTGGCTGCAGTTACTCCCCATGATGAGAGTGGCCATCATCTCTATGGTGGAGTCTGCTGTGAGCAGCTGAGAAGCTGCTTTAGCGATGTAGTCTGTTTCCAGTATATAAGGAGCAGCTTTGGGAATAGCCTACAGTTTTTGGTACACTTGGACCCTGCATATACAGCCGAGTCTTCATTTAGCAGCCTGCCATGTTTCCTGCTGATCATGGGACTGTCTCTGGACTTGAACTAGCAGCCTGCTGTGTTGTTTGGTAATATAGGGACTGTGCCATTTTATTTGCTGACTTTGGACTTGTCAGCCTTCGCAGCCAGCAGTTGCCTGAGTGAAGAAACACCTCTAGTTCTGGTAGGCCAGGAGCAAGAAGTCAGGGTCAAGGAGCTTGCATCCAACCCCTAGAGTTTGGCACTTTGAACTCAAGACTTCTAGCCTCCAAAACCATAAGAGAATAAACTCCTGTTTGTTAAAGCCATCCATCTGTGGTATTTCTGTTAGAGCGGTACACAAACTAAAGAAAACACCATACATTCTTAAAAATATCTTGGGTTATTTGCAGAAAAACAATGTCTTTAGTTTTGAAAATTTCAAAATAATCAGAATTATGTTTTCTCTAATTCTATGTCATTAAGCTGGAAGACATTTAACAAACACTGAGTGTTGATACAAGCAAAAATAAATAGACAAAATGTTCTAATGATAGACTGAAATCAATTTTTGCTTCAAGGTAAGATAAAAGGTTGGCCATAAAAAGACCAGATGTCATGGCCAATGATCTCTTTAAAAACATCAAACTACGTACATAGTGGTACACTGATGTATATTAGCAAAGCCTTAGTTCTAAGATATGTCCTGCTTTAGAAATAATTTCATAGCTCTTTGTCATTTCAATAGTAGTCAAAAGCTCAAGACTCAAGGGTTCAAATTCAAATCTCATGTCAAATTTAGCTGAGGGATTTCACCAGTGTAAGACTAAATTTCTTCATTTATAACCAAATGCACTGCCATCAAGTCAATTTCAACTGATAATGACCCTACAGGACAAAGTCGGCCCGTAAGGTTTCCAATGCTGTAAATCTTTACAGAAGCAGACTGCCTCATCTTTCTCCCATGGAATAGCTGGAGGGTCTGAACCACTGACCTCTGGTTAACAGCCGAATGCTTTAACCATTACAGCACCAGAGCGCCTCTTCATTTATAAGATGTAAGTAATAATAGCTAAGGAGCTCTGGTAACATAGTGCCTAAGGCACTTGACTGCTAACCAGAAGGCTAGCAGTTCAAACTCACCAGCCACTCCTCGGAAGGAAAATGGGGCAATCTACTTCCATAGTGATCCTGCCTCGGAAACCCAAGGAGGGGTCACTATGAGTCGGGTCCGACTCAACGGCACATAACAACAATAATAACTATTAATGATTAGGTTGTTCCCAGGGTTTGTTTAACTGAAATAACCTGTGGAATATGCTGAGCATGATACCTGGCCAATGAAAAGCTCTAGATTATTAATTTTATTCTTATCATGATTATTATGATCATCATTAACTCCAACACAAATGAAAAAGCAGCAGCTGGATAATGAAAACATCAAAGTAATATACTTGCAAATGCAAAAAGGAATTGTTGTTTATGGTACTTTCATAGAAAGAATTCTTCAGGTTATTTTGCATTCCTTATTTATATCCATCTAAACGTTATCAGGAGTCCCTGGTGCTACAAATGGTTAAGCACTAGGCCAGTAATGGAAAGGTTGAGGTTTGAACCCACCCAAAGATCACTTGGAAGAAAGGCCTGGTGATCTACTTTTGGAAGATCACAGCTGCTGAAAACCCTATGGAGCACAGGTCTCCTCTGAAACACATGGGGTGGCCTTTCATCAAAATCAAATCACTGGCTACTTTTTAAAAATTTATTTAAGCTACTGAGAGTAAATTGAATGTAACTATCTGAATCTGGGGTCAGAAGGATAATTGAGGCAAGTTAAGGCTACTAGGATGACAGCAAAGTAAAAGCGGGTAGGAATGTAGGGTCAGGCTTAAAATTTAAACTCACTGGGTAAGGCATTTGGCTGCTAACCGAAAGATCCGTAGTTCACACCCACCAGCTGCTCTGCAAGAGGAAGATGAGGAAATCTACTTCGCTAAAAATTTATAGCCTTGGAAACTTTATTAACGTCACTGAGTCGGAATCGATTCAATGGCAGTGGGTTTGGTTTTTTTTTATCCTGTCAGGTAGTTATTCTTTGCAACCTCATCTTATTCTCTTATCAGACCTGCTACCTACTTCTTCTACAAAGCTCTGATGGTGTAGTGGTTAAGGCACTTGGCTGCTAACCAAAAGGTCAGTGGCTCAATCCCATCAGCTGCTCCACAGGAGAAAGATCAGGCAGTCTACTTCAATAAAGTTTTTTTTTTTTTTTTTGGTATCTGCTTCTTCTATCTCTTCCACATAACCACACGTTTTTCACACTCAAGCTTAGACACTACTTAACCTGCTTAGCACGAAACACTACCTTCTAGACAATGTCAGTCCCTGCCTTTAAAACTAACCTCCTCCATGAGATCTTATCAGACTGACATCTATCAAATACTGATCATTCTATCTATCTATACCAACAATCTGCAAGTCTAGAGATTTTTCTGTACTCTGCTGCTGGTCGTATAGTTGTCTGTTTCTCCTAATTGGGATATAAACTAATTTATATAGCGATATGTTTAATTTTGTTTGTTAGGTGCCCAACTATGCCATGTATTTTATGTATATTACCTTACACAATCCTCATTATTATAATCTGCAAAAATATATCCATTTTAAAGATGAAAAGAGATACAAACCTAGGTCTCTGTGATTTCTAAGCCCTCACACTTAATACTTATTCTTCTCCTTCAGAGACTGTAAACTGCTTAGTTCTGATTCAACTACTATTGATTGAATGGCTGGCACCCCTTCTGTTATCTTCTTCATCTTCCATTTATGTAGCCAGGCAGATGTTATTATTCCCATTTAGCAAATGAAAAGGAGCCTTGGTGGCACAGTGATTAAAGCACTTGGCTCCTAATCAAAAGGTCAGCAGTTCAAACTCACCAGCCACTCTGCAGGAGAAAGATGTGGCAGTCTGCTTCCATAAAGAGTTACAGCCTTGGAAACCCTATGGGGTAATTCTACTCTGTCCTATAGAGTCTCTATGCATCACAATTGACTCCACTCAATAGCAGTAGCTGGGCAGCAGATGAGAAAAACCAAAGCTTCCTAATTAAATGGCTATTTTTCATGTCTTCAGGCAAAAATAAACCAGGTGGATTTAGGCAGATTGAAGCTATATATTCTGTATCTATTCTATGTGGAAAGAAAAAAAAATAGAAAACATGTATCATTGCACATTAATCCACTTCCACCAATCAGTAATCTTGAAAGCAAAGTATGTTACTTTCTGTTTAAGTTAATGCATCTGTACACTTCAAAGTACTGAGGGGTAAAACTCATGAAGGAACTGCATACTGCCCTTTGGAACTCATACTCATTAACTAATTAGGTTAATAAAGGATCTCTAAGTCCTATGCCTCTAGACAGAGATCTGAAGAAACACAGCAGGCATGTTCATAAAAAAAGAAATAAATAAAAAATCAAGAAAATGCTATCAAATACAAGTTTTGCTATGTAATAGCAATTTTTAAACTAAACAGTCCATGTAGGTCTCTACTAATGTCCCCAGAATGAAATTTATTTAGCAATGGAACAAAAGTTCAGTTTTTTTTTTCTCCTCAGCGAAAACAAGTATTGAAAAATGTAGAGCAAAAGTGGAAGCTTTCCAGAACTGTAGGTAGGGAAAAGAACAAAAAGATGTCAGCAGTTCAGGGAAAAGGGCAATAGAAGGCTTTTTCTTGAAATGTGAACAGCACATAGAAAAGTTTCTCAAGCACCAAGAATGTGGTTGAACTCCCCAAGTGTGTGGTTTTGGGAGACGGGCCAACACTAAGCTTCTGATACTATACCCTAAAATCCATGAACTGCCTTTCCTAACCAGTACCTTCCACTTCTCAGCATGCATGAGGACTGAGTAGTAAAAGTTAAGAGCTTTAAGAAATAGGAGTCACTTATACCATAAATTAAGGCAATGCCAGTTCAGACTTTTTGCTTTCCAAAGGATTTGGAATAAGTCAATAAGTCACCAAGAGCCTGTTACACAACACTCAAATCATTATCCTGGCTGGAGCAGTGCAGGCAAATACACAATTACTGAAAGCTTTTTACCAGGGAGGTCACCAGGAAGGCGGATACCAGTACAGTAGCAATAATAATTGAGAGTAAAATGTTAAGTGATTTGAGTATTCTAGGAATGAAATAGAAATAATCTAGAAAAGTAAGCAGAGAAAAACAGGAAACCTGGTTATAAATCATAGAAAATAAATGATTAAATTGTATTTGCAAAGTGCTTCATTCATTTTATTGATTCATCGGTTAGCACAGTAGTATCTCCAGCCATCATGCCAGAGACCAGGGCTCAAGTCCCCTAACTTGGAGATAACTGCCTTTGGCAAGGACACAGAACAGAGCGTTTGAGAGCACACTTTGGAACTGTACAGCCTGGGTGGGTCCCAGCTCTGCCACCTACTAACTGTTATTTCTCTGTGACCTTACCTGCAAAATGAGGTTACTAATAATTCCTGCCTCACAGGATTCTTGCAAAGATTAAACCCATACATGAAAAGTGCTTAAAAATACACTGAGATGTGATAAGTGCTGTATTACCAGTTGCCATGAAGTCACCTCTAACTCGGGGCAACCCCATGTGTGTGAGTAGAACTGTGTGTGCTCCATTGGGTTTTCAGTGGCTGAT